ATGGTGGCAAGACCAAACTATTTGTGAGTACCATAAGGAGTCTGGGTATCTGCTTTTCTCATTCTTCCATTTTTATTTCCCATTGGCCTGCATTTTCCTCTTGAGGATCCATTCCCACAAGGACCCCTAGGATAGAACTGCAAACCCACTCAAATGCTTCCATGCTATTGGAAACACAAGGGGGTGCCTCTACTTTGTGTCTTCCTTTTCTTCAGAGAACGATCACAGAAATTCTAGTTTCCACTGCTTTCTGCATAGGTTTCTCCTACAAATGTAAAAGGACACTAAGAAAGGTTTTGGGCTAAGAAAGGTATGTGTTGTCTCTCTCCATGGTGCATCTCATGCCTGGTAGAGCTCCCCTCCCCCGTTCTCCCTCCCCTAGGAGGCTGTGTAGCGAAGGGAAGAGCCAGCAGATGTCAACAACCACTTCTTAGCTCTCATGTTGTATATATTTGCTATGAAGGGCATTTTTTTTCTTGGCAAAGTCATAAGGGCCAAGAAGGAAGTAAACAGTTAAGAAGTGTTTATGGAAAAGATTATCCCTGTGAGGTTTCAATAAATAAATATTGGCCAATTATGATCATTCCTAGTAGATGGTTCTTTTATATAATTAGAGCACTGAAGCAAAACAGCTGAAGACACACATATGGGATGACAAGTAATGAGCAACTGTAGAGAAGCTATGTGAGGTGACAGAAAGAGTATTAGACTGGACTTCAGGAGGGAGGGATGGCTTCCGGTGTTCTCTGCACCTAACCAGGGACTCAGAATATCTTGATTCACCTTTCTAGATCTCAATGTTCCTGTCTGCTAAATTGGAGTAGTGGGCGGTGTTATGGACTGTTTGTGATTCCCCCACATCCATATATTGAAGCCCTACCCCCCAATGTGATGATATTTGGAGATAGAGACTGTGAGGAGGTGATAAAGGTTAAATGAGGCCATAGGGTGGGGCCCTAATAAAATGAGACACCAGAGCTCTCTCTTTCTGCCATGTGAGGGCATAGATGGAAGGCAGCCATATACAAGCCAGAAAGAGGGCTCTCACCAGAAACCAATCATGCCAGCACCTTGATCTCTGACAGCTGCCAGAACTGTGAGAAATAAATGTCTGTTGTTTAAGCCACCCAGTCCATGGTATTTTGTTATGACAGGTGAAGCCGACTAATAAAGGTGGTGATGACTAGCTAATTAAAATGACACAATGATTTACAATTTATAGAGCACTTTTACAAATTTTTCTCAGAGAAACTCTGGGAGGTGGGAAGAGCAGAGTATTATTTTACAAATAAGTAAATATACCTACAGGATCGGCATCTCTGGGGGTGGGGCCCAGCAACCTGTGTTTCACAAGGTCTCCAGGAGATACTGAGGCCACTAAAGTTTGAGGACTGCTGCTCTGATCTATGTGCACTAGTTCCCCTTGTAACTGGCTGACATTTGACATAGGAATGCACTGAAGGATATGCAGCCACAACTCTGAGTCCCATAACCAACTAGATCCACAACACAGTTAAACCCATTTTTAAGATGCTTGAACCTGTAGTACATCCTTTAAATAATTCTAATATTCTATAATTTTGTGTCAGCCTTTGTTACCTCCTGTAAGTCTACTTAGAATTTAAAAACATTTTAGAAAAAAAAAGCTATTAAGTCCAGCATATCATGAACCTTGAATTAAGTTGACTCTAATTAAAAATGGTAATTTAAAATATAGTGAATTTATTATTTATTTGAAGTTGTTAATCTTTTTAATCCCTTACTCAAGGTATCTGGCCATCTACTCCTGCACTCCCACCCCTGAAACCTAAGTAACCTCAGAAAGAGGCTCATGTGCACATGAAACCTCTCTTTCAACATCCAACCACCTCCAATCAGGAGAAAATATTTTAATGTGTAATAAAAATGGTTCAAAATATACATTTAAAATTTCTCTTTTAATATTTATTCTAGAAAGCCAAATATAGAATTCATTAATTATAGGTTATATTTATATTTAATAACTATCTTTGTATATGTAATAATATGACTATATAATAAAAAATACATATTTTATGTCAAATGTCTGGATTTTAGAGGCATTAGGATTTTAATTAGATATATTTCCTTTGATTATCTTCCTGGGTTTGGAGTTTAAAAACTCTAGGGATTTCTGGTAGAAAGTATGGACACTGATGCCAATGTGATATTTATATTTAGATGATTATATATATGTGTGTACATATGTGTGTGGTTACATACTAAATGACACCTGTTATTTTAGGACATCAACACTCATCTAAGAATTCTATGGAATATTTTATATGCATTCCAGATGAACTTTGCTCATAAAATTTCACAAAAAGGCACAATATTACCTTTTAAGCATAAAACCTTACACATTTCCAAAATTACTTTTTCTTATGTAGAAATAACACAGAAATCACCTTTTATCGCCTTGAATGTGGGCAGCCAGGGAGAATAAAATTCACATACTCTGTGCTGCTTCTGTTATTAATTTGCTTATATAAGCAAAATTCTGGGCTTTCAAGTGGAAGTATAAGACTTGCAAATCACATGACTTACAAAATGACACATAGCTTACACAGTATCTGCAGAGCTATAGCTTCTGAATAACATAGTTAATGAGATTAGTAGACTTCTGCCCGTCACAGCCTCCAGCTATTGTATTTATCTTCCTTAGGTTTTCTTTTGGCACCATTTACTGAAAAAGCTACTTGCAATTATATGAAAGCTGACTAACACGTTTCTACTATCTTTCTGAAAAGATATAGGAAGAATACATTAAACATAAAGATTCCATCCAAAATAGCATGTACACATCTATAATATCTATGAGATGAAGCAATATTAAACAAATATATTTTATACACATAAACACACACATACCTTTAATGTTGATCTCAAACTCAGGAGGAATTTTTTGTAGTAATATAAAGACTAATTAGAGTGTTTTCCCAAATATTTTACTTTCAAGTATCAATGTTGTCATTGTTTCAACCTAGGATTTACTCACAACATTGACACTAGATAAACCTTCCCCAAAAAGGACTCTACTCTTACAGCCAACAACGAACAACAATGCCAAGTCACACTCATAATTTCTCATCTTTTGAAACATGTTTTGACACGAATGATCCAGCAAAGCTGGGTCCCGGCCAACTCGTGCCAACTGTCACAATGGCACTGGAGGAAACAGGATCACTACAGAGGTGAACAATGACTGAGCACGTAAAATTCCCCCTCATTTGATCCAGGTAAGGGAAGCATTCTTTTCTGAAGAAGTAGGAAAGTTGATTCTCATTTTTTTCAAAAAGATTCCTTAACAACTAATAATACGTGTTTGCGTGCAACCACATATATTTTGTGAAAGGTACCATGAGATAAAAAGGACAATGACTCCTTTGGGTTTTCCACTCTAAAGATCTCAATGTGTAATTTTATAGTATTCTGCATCCCCAAATTTAATTAAAACAAAAAGTTTTAGAAAAAGAAAAAGAGAAGAAAAGCAGTTTTGGGGTAGGATGATGCTAAAGCACAAAACAAAGTGAGAGTTTATCTTCTACATGATTGAGGAATACATCAAAAAATAACTTTTTGTTTTAATAGAGGATGTGTAGGCATGTGTGTTTTCATACTATATTCAATTGTATTATATTTGTTCATTCAGCAGGTGGGTCCAGTTCTTGGGTCAGAATGCCACTGTACAGATGAGATCCGTAGGGGTTGGAGATCGCAGGCCCCAAGTAATCAATTGGGCTTAGTTACATGAGAGCTAACAGCTTAGTGAAGGAAGCACTCGGGCTCTAGCCCCACTTACCGTATTAACTAAACTGACAATTTGGCACTAATAGAAATACAGGCAAGAAAAACTTGGACGTAGTTTGGGCGCAACCTGTAAAATCGACATATTCTGTACCTCCACAGAGATGCTTTGTTTGGCCAGTTTTCCCCAGATCACTTCAGTTACCTCAGTTATTCCAGGTCAACAGGCAAGTCTCTAAGTTAACTGTTTTTGGTTGCTATTTTCTGATGTTCAGTTTTTCCTTTGTTTCAGAAAGATACACAATTGTTCCTTTCATGCAATTTTCATGATGCAAACCCAACTGCACAATTAGGAAACTGTCCAAATTCAACTTGCCTTTCTGTAACTTGCTGACTGCTTTCTTTCTTAACCTCTTCATCTGCTCAGGTCCCTTTGAATTCTTTATCTCCACCTGTGTTTACATGACCCTCAGATTCAGAATCAGTGCCACTTGTACCTTACATGGATATGCAGTTATCTTGTCTCCCAGTAATTAACTAAGACGTTAAGGGCTGATGCCAATTCAGTGGCTTGAGCTGGATACCTTCCATGACCTGGTATGTCATTGTTTATGGGCTGTTAAGCAGTTTTCATTTCACCTTATGGGCCCACGTAAAACCCAAGCTGGATGTTTCTCAAATTACTGGCAGTATCACAGAATATTAAATAGATTCTTTTTGCTTTGTAAACATCATTTCTAAATTGACTGAAGAACTCCCTGAGAGGCTAAATTGGGCAATATAGATATTTTAAACTTCTCAGATTTTTAAAGTCTTTTATCTCCCTTTCCGTAAATCAAACTCATTATTTTACGCATATGCTAATGGTAGCGTTTCTCATTTTCAAAATAATATACTTTCTGGTTCTTGTTTAAATCTTTTTTTCTAATCAAAGTATCATTGCTGTTTTGATTCATTTTTCAAGTGAGGCTTTCAATTTCCCAAAAGCTCTATCTTGTTCTGCTTTGTTTTTCATCATTCTTACGTACAGAACATAACATGGCTGACATGCAGATGTCAGTGGACCAGAGACATCATAGAGGGAGGCTAGGCTTAGTTGCCTTGAAAATCTATCTTGTGCAGGCCTCCGTTAGACAGGCTAATGCAGCCTCCAGGGCAGGGCTGAATGCTAAAGGGCTTCAGCTGTCAGAAATCTACAGTGCAACAGTAGAAAATGTATGGAAGCATTCACTTACCTGCTTTTGATCAACAATTATTTCGAGGTCTTCATCACTGCTTAGTTTTCCATATCCTTTTTCTTTACTTTTCTTGTGAAAGAATAATTTTAAATGATCATTTAGTTTCTTTCCATTAATAATCTTAATTCCCACTTAATACTTTTTAAAGATAAAGTCTACTTAGCCTTGTTCACTAGTCATCATACATCATTCTTTATGTCAGTCTTTCAGGATAACTGCAAATGTTTTTATCCTTAAGCTGCTAGCTTATAATTATTCATGAAGTATTTTTCGCTTAGCCTCTCCCATCCAAATTATGCCTTTAGTCCTTTTATGAATATTGTTATGCTGCATTTCTCAATTCCATAGTTTCAGAAAAGATTTTTTAATACTCTAATATAAGTAATCCTTTCAAGAGTCGCAGCACATAAAACGTTGAAACTACACTTAGTGATACTATGCTTAAGACTTCAAACAATTAAATGTTTTATTTTAATCCCCTATATATTTTTAAGAATAAGATCAGTATTATATAACTCAATAAATCTTCAGATTTTCCACATTAGTTTATAAATCAGATGAAAACTAACACTGGAAAAAACAACTCAGAAATTTTAATAAGATAAAATAATTTCCAAAATTAGGTAGTTTGAAAAGTTGGAAGAGTACAGATCATCTTTTAAAATCACTGTATTGGCATTTTGTCATCTTTCCTCCAGTGACCACTCTCCAACTACCTCCCCCAATAGAAAAAATTCTAACATTAGAAAAGGACATAGATCCTGACAACCATTTTGCTGGCATGCTATAGGAGAAAGATAATTTGAGCCTTTTTTTCTCTCTGTTCTCCCAATGCACTGGTTGATTGGAATACCAGAAATGACATGTTTCCTTATAATTTCAGAAATCAAAGTACCTCTGTAGAGGACCAGTAGCAAAAGGAAAAGAAAAAAAAAATTATTACACAGTTAGCTTTAGTTCAAAGTTATTATTATTATTTTTTAAATCCTTGCTTTAGGTATTAACTACGTCAACTAGAATTAAGGGAATGAAATCTGATGTTTGCATGTACTGTGCCATAGCAAGATCCCCATCTCATTGGGGGAGAAACTATATCCTTCAGTGAACATGACATAGATCATTTCACACTGTGCGGCATGCTTCTTGTCTGGTTTTCCCCCTATATTTCAAAACCAGATTTCCACATTTCCTCCCCAATAAACATACCTACTATTTTTGTGCTTTTTTCCCCCTGTAATAAAGAGATTTCTGAATCTTCAAGTATTAGGATGCATAAATAAAATCTGAATTCTCATTCATACATTAATGAATTTAGCCACTTAGGACAGAACAGATGGCCACACTATCTCTCTCTATCATTCTTGTCTTCATTTGAGGTTCCATTCAGGATTAATGGAAAACAAAAAGAACAAGGTTGGTTTCAATCAAGCTGATTTCCTTCCTATCACTTAGCTTTTGTATCCTTTTAGTCCACTGGTTGCCATAGCACATTGTCCAGAGGCCCTCTAATGCAAAACATTTAGAAATGCCTTTGTGAAAAGTGATCTGTATACGTACCAAGTAGCTCATTTGCATGACCCGATTTCTGGACGAAAGGACATTAAGTAGAGATGGAATGTGGGTCCTTCCATCCATTTTACTCTCAGACATCCCAGAATTCTTTGCACCAGCGGCAGTGGCTTCATTGCCAGAACTTGCTGACCAGAGAACCACAGAGTTTGCCCAGCAACAGTATTTATAATGTACGACAATAATCGAAGGATCCTTGAATCATTGCCTTGACTTTGTAAACATTGTGAAAATTTTGGCTAGCACAAGAAGTCATTGAAACAAAAATTTCTTCTTTTTTAAGTAATTTTTATCCAAGCACTTCTATGTTCCCTGACTGCTGTTCTAGCTTAATGCTTTTAAAAAAGTCTATCATTAATTATATACATTTTTATATTTCATCCCCCATATATGGTCGACTCAGCCTGTTTGTCATTAAAACTCTCAGTTTTCCCTTTTTAATGCCCCACTCCAGACTTTCTGGTGATTAGCAAATCACTGCTAATTGATATAAAAACTTTAGCACTCACAGAACACAATTCAAAATCGCAATTTCTGCCAATAGCAAATTCCACCTTTCCAATTTAATCCCAACTCCTTATCTGATTTAGTAGTACATTTTCCTGGGAAGAAACTAAGTCAGGGAAGGAGACTATATCCCCAACTACCGTGTTGGCATTTTCCGAAAGTGGGAGGAGGAATTAAGAGCTCTGATTCTGTACTGAAACCCCTAGTCTCCACACAGCACACAACTCTACACAGAGTCAGAATTCTTACAGTTTTACTCTAGCATTAAGCAATATTTTCTAGTTCACCCCATAGCCCCACGGGGATTAAACCTTTTCTAAGCCACCATGGTTATTCGCTCACTTACTGCTCATTTCTAGTGCCAGCATAATCCTCTTTCGAGCACTCAGCTCCCACTTTGCCTGCTTAGGTCAGCCAGCCCAGGCAGGGTTCTTCAGCTTTCCTCCCTCCTCCCAGCCGGGAATCCCTGTCTTCTATCTAGGCATTTTTGTCAAGTACAGAAAAGCGACTCCATAGCTTCTGCGTGGTCTTTCACACTAGCCCAAGGACTAAACCAGAAGGAGAAAGAAACCAACCTCTGCACTGTCCCAGCCTGAGGAGGCAGGGCTTCTGCGGGAGGGTGAGCACTTCCTGTGCTCCTCCCCCCTCCCCGGGGCAGACACTGGAGCTGAGGATTTCAACTGAGGCTGTAAGAGTAGGCCCCTTTCCCTCAGCCTTAGCATGCTGCCTGCTCATATCTGATATAGCTCATAAAAGTGCAGCTAAGCAGGGAGCATTAGCACAGTGGAGCCAAAGTGGTGAGGACTTTGAGGTGGGAAAAGCGAGGAAAGACAGAAAGGAAACAGTCATCGTTTGCTGACAATGCCTCATTCTCTGTAAGAAGCTTTCAGCTCAAGATAAGTGTCCAGTCTCTGAAGCCTCAAACACAATACCTCCCGTTTTCCCATACCATTCTGAATCCTGAGTAACTAGAAGAACTACCTAGTTCTTCATTAGTGCCGATAACTTTAAATGTCATTGCATCAGATCTGTACTTTTCTTAAGAACATGGAGCCTAACTGCTCACCTTTTCCTCTCTGCAGACATTCCAACATCTCTCCTTAACCCTATTTACCTCTTGCTTCCCACCCTGTCATTCTCTCCTCCACAAATGTAGAACAGAAACGTAGTTTTAGTCACTTGAATTAAATAAACCATAAAACTTGGAAACTATATAGGAGAACAATATATGGCCACAGACATAAAATGTATTATATAAGAAAATTTTCATAGTGAGTAACAGCAAAACAACAAAAAAATCTGATAGGATAGAGACCTGAAAAATGAAGCACCCTATATTTAATTTTAAAGTAAGATTTTATTAAAAAGTAAGAGTATTAACTGAAAGATACTAGCTGTGTTTGGGCTGAATTAAAAGGATTCTTCATACTCATTCAGATTGGAATATATAAAAGAAATTTTAAAAGGAAAAAAGGAACACGGGATTTAGTTAATTGTACAAATTAGCCTCAATTGCAATTTTTGCCTAACTACAGATGTTAAAATAAATGTAAAGGTGAAAGATTATATATACATGTTTCAAAAAAAATTCTTACTATTATTTGTTCAATACTGCACTGAATGATAAATAGTAGACCTAAGTTTATTAAAGCAAATGTTACATGAAGGGTAGATAGACCACAGAAACAGAGACCATTCTACTCTGTTTTTCATGGTTGTCAGTCTCAGCTCCAATCTTCTCCTTTTCCCTATCTTCAGTCCCTTCTTGTCCATCACCTTCCTCCCTGCTGCCTGCAAAACTGCTCAGTGTTCCCTGTCCTAAGAGATGACTTTCTCACACGTGCTTTCCCTGAAAGGCATTCATTAAATCTTATATCTCTTCACAGTCAAACTTGAAAGAGTGGTCTATGCTTACAAGCAACAGTTCCTTCCTTTCTCATCACTTCTAAACCAATCACAATCAGGTTGCAATTTACTGTAAATTGCATTCTTAATAGTCACCAATGGACTAGAGAATTATCAAATTCTCTAGCAGACTTTTTTGAGAGCTAATTATATGAATTAGCCCCAAATGCAATTTGTGATTGACTATAGATGTCACAATAAATGCAAATATTTTTTCTTTCAGTGGTCAATTTTGTATGGAGTATTTTCAAAAAAGTCTTTGCTGTTATTTACGCTATTACAGCTGTTAAAGGTGTTGCCACCAATTGAATAGAGTACCAGTGAGAGGGAGGAGGAATTGGGAAAGGAGATGACGTGCTGAGAAGATACTTGCTGAGTTTGTGGTGTCTTTGGAAAGTTCATCCACATGGAAGGACCCAGTCAGCCATTTGGATATACAACGCTATATCTTAGAAGCAAGATAAGGGAGGGACATATGGATTGCTGGGGATAATGAAAATTGTGGGAGTGGACAAGCTCATGAAAGAAGAAACCATAGAGACAGAGGGATGAGGACAAAGGCTGGAGTCCTACAGAATCGTTACATTTAAAAAATTGGCCAAAGAAAAGAACCCAGTGAAGGAGGCTGAATAGGAGTGGGCATATGAGGTCTGACAATTAAGTTCATGAACTTGTTGCAACGATGTTGCTAACCTTTCTTGATATCAGAGGGGTTATTCACTATGAATTTATACCAACTGGACAAACAGTTCACCAAGTTTACTACTCTTTGGCAGTGCTGAAAAGGCTGAGTGAAAAAGTTAGACGACCTGAACTTTTCGCCAACAATTCATGGCTCTTGAATCTTGACAATGCACCAGCTCACATGGCACTGTCTGTGAGGGAGTTTTTAGCCAATAAACTAATAACTATTGGAACACCCTCCCTACTCACCTGATCAAAGAAGTCAATGACTTCTTTACTCAAAGATAAAGGAAATATTGAAAGAAAGACATTTTGATGACATTCAGGACATCAAGGGTAATATGACGACAGCTCCGAAGGTCATTCCAAAAGGAGTTCCAAAATTGCTTTGAAGGGTGGACTAGGTGCTGGTGTCAGTGCATAACTTCCCAAGGGAAGTACTTCAAAGATGACCTTAGTGATATTCAGCAGTGAGAATGTAGCATTTTTTCTAGGATGAGTTCGCAAACTTAATTGTCTGACCTCGTAGATGTAGGAGGAGAACCAGGAGAATGCAGTCAAAGGAGTTCTAGATAGTATGAAATGTTAATGAAAGGTTAAGTAAGGATGTGACCTGCAAACTTTCATTGTATTTGGCATTTTGGAAGTCATCAAGGACTAGTAATGAAAGAACTAGTGAAGATAGAACCAAGATCAGAGTAAATTAATGAATACATTGGCAGTAAGGGAGCAAAGATAGTGAGAGAGGACTTATTTTCCCTTAGGAAAGCTTGAATAAAAAGGAAAAGAGGGAACAATTTGTTAAGATGGTAGATCTCACATGAAGTTAAAAAAAAAACAAAAACAAAGAAAGAAAAGAAAAAGAAAAAGACGGAGCAAGAAGGCTAGAGGATAGACAAAAACTACAGGGGAAAAATGTCCTGAAAGTTACCATAGCTACCTCCTTGTGTAAAGGTGTTGTGTATGTTTATAGTACAAGAAAAAACTAGTCAAGACAGTGAAAATGTTGAAATCAGAAGGTGGGGATAGGGGATAACTCAGGAAGCAAGAAAGTAAGAAAAATTTGGAGAACAACTGCTTGTCCCTCTTTTAAAATGTACAACTATGAGATATATATTTGTAGAAGAATAATCTGGAAGGATCTATACCAAATATTAAAAGTCCTTTTCTTTGGGAGATGGAATTACGCATGACGTTCTCTTTATACTTGGGACTACTTTGTGAAATAAATAAATGAATTTCTTTTATAATAAAAAAAGTAAACAAAATGTGATTGCTTGAGAGATCCGTAAAATTGCTATTAAGTCTGCGTTGCAGAAAAATGACGGGGTCAAGGAAGGTTTACCCTTCCTTTATTATGTTTCTGGAGGAATAAAAGCTTGTGTTTTTTTAAATGTAGATATTCATGCTACAGTTATTGCATACGTCTCTTGTGGCAACCGTTAAAAGATGGTGGAGCGAATGTTTTATTGCATTTAATATGCTCCTTTCCTCTTGACTCTTCCGTATCATATTATGCTTCTCAGTTCTTTGACATAATTTTGGTCTCATGTCTCTTCCCTTTTTTAAAACACCCCCAGTGTCAGCACAGCCACAGACACCACTGCTATGGGAGCCAAAGAAACAATGAACAGAGAAAACAGGAAATAAGGGAGGAGGAGGCGTTTCTCTCATAAGACCTGGAATAGGAGCTTGAGGGTTTCCCCTTGTTTAGGACATGAGCTTGGACAGATCTTTTAAATAGAAAGTAATCACCTTACCAATTGAAAGGACAATTTTTAGATCTTTTCTTTTTCTTACATATAGAGAAAATCAACTTTCTAAAGGCAAAGCATCATATTACAGAGAATCATTTACGGAGGAGCTTGTTAAGTCTGGCACTTTTCAAGAATTTTTTTGTTTTTTTCTTTTTAAAAGATCCACAATTGTGTTTTCCCCTCCAACTGTGATCATGTTATGGTAAAACAAAACAGCCACAGGGTGCAATTTTTTAGTTTTGGGTCAGGCATGAGCAAACATAACATATGGCAATCAAGCTCAGTTCTAAAGGTATATTGCTGGGTGAAAAAAGAAATATAAGGACAACAAATATGTTGATGCATTTTGAACCATGTTTTAAGTCATATACATATGTCCAGATATTTAGTAATTTTTTTTTTAATTTTAAGTCTAAATCTAATTGGGAAAATAGATATTCCTGTTACTTACTAGTCAGATAATATAATGGCAATGACGCACAATACAATTTTCACTAAGCTTCACAGTCCCTCCTTAATGCTGGCTTTCCTATCTTTCGGGTGCCGCGTGGTCTGTAAGAGAATAATACCCTGAACAGTTTATAAAGCTTCTTAAAAGCATTTTCTATTTTCCAAGTTTTCTAAAGATGAAAATTCTCCAATATAACTATCCATTAAAATTAATCTGTGTTGTTGTGCAATGATTATTTTCTTAAGCACACAAATTCATTCTTAGGTATGCACCTTCTTATATCTTTTCCAATATTTTATCATGAAAAGTTTCAAACACACAGCAAAGTGAACAGAATTTTATAGTGAGCACCTGTATACTTACTACCTGGATTCTACCTCTAATATTTTATGATACTTGCCTTTCTGCATATCCATCCATCTGCTGTGACATATTTTTAAAGTATAGTACACATTGTCACATTTCTACACATTTTTTCTTCCAAGGTTTATTTTACTTGATTTACTTTTGAAACTCAGAAAAGCAAAACCATTGGTTTAGTAAGTGTCCAAAATAAGAGCACTACAAGTTCAGGATTTGTTCCCCTACAGCTTTCACGGGGAAAGCACATCAGTGAGCTACATTTCTAGCATTGAGTGCTAGTGATAGGTCCTAGCACTCGGATTAGGGAAGAGGATTTCTGATCAAAGCGCTGGGATTTTTATGGTTCTCAGTCAAAAGCTAGTGATCAAACAACTCAATTTTTTTACTCAAATCCACGGTGTGA